GGTCATGTGTGGGAGGTGCCTGCAGAGGCTAACAAAAGGCGTTGGATCCCCGAGAGCTGGAGTTATAGATGGTTGTGAGCTGCTAGACCTGGATGCTGGGAATCAAACTTTTTTCTGGAGTTCTGTTCAGCACTCACTCCTAACTGTTGAGCCACCTTTTCGGCCCCTAATATACTGTTTTAGAGTTGTATTTCACCCTTAGTTTCTGACATACCCGTAATTAATTTTGATGAGTGGTATGAAGTGATTCTTATTTCTTAGGGAAACGTGTTGATGTACACGGACAAAGATAGACATGGAGGCATCTCACATTTCCCTGCCAATCATATCGTGGTGATTGAGCCAAACAGATCACAGACCCCAGAGAGGACACAGAAGGGCTGTTACGTTAGCAGGAACTAAAATGCTTGACACCTCAGATAAGTCTTGTTCCCTATTTGACTTCAGAATTTTTGCCTAGAAAATGGGACTTGGGGGAATGGCGGTGAGTAGGAGTTTCTGAGCCCCCTCTAGCTCTACCGTGACATCACAAATAGGTGCCTCTCTGTAATGGGTCACAATCAGGGGCCTCTGTAGCTCCTGGGCTGGCTGTTCTTCTGGTCAGCCCTCTGCACTCCTTCACGAAGCAAACAGTCTTTACAAAATTGGTTTGGCTGTCATGATGTGTCTCTGAGCAACTGGAGAACAAGATGCTTCACCGACTAAGAAAAAAATCTTACTGAAAAATATTTTATTTTCTCCTTCACTATGTTAATTATCAATACATTGTCATTAAAGAAAAGAGAGTTCATGTAAAAACACCAATAGTCCAAGCATCTGCTCCTAGCACTGTGTCTTTCTTTGGATCTCTTCTCTGAATTTTTAAAGATATAATAAAATTCTCTTTAAGCATTTAAAAACATGTAACATTAGAGAGAAATTATGCCGTTTAACATCGTCCTTATGTATATGCCATTTTTGTCCCCCTACCCGAATAACATTAGGAGATAAGGGAGCAGAACAGGTGTGGCTGTCCCTGACGTGGAAGTGGAAAGTGAAGGGCAGAGAAATCTTGGGCCACGTGCAGCGTGGAACAGCTCTGTGGTCTGCACTACAGTTCACAGTGTTTTCACACCCATCTTCTTTACTTCTCACAGAAGTCTCTGAAAAATAGTGATCAGCAGTTCACACCCTCTTTCCTGGAGCAAACTGAGGCTTAAAAGAATTGACTGCCTTTCCCAAAGATGCAGAGTCTGCAGCAAGCCCAGGACTTGAACCCCATTTCCTGATCCCAGGTTTAGTGCTCTTGCATTCCCAGGTGAGAACTCTTTCCACTAACATCCCGGTGCCACGTGAAACTTGAGTGGTGCTAGTGGGCAGCAAGATTTCAGAAATGGAGGTCAGGGTTGTTGCTAGAGGGAAAGCCAATCCTCCAATCAATCTAGACATCATTTATTTATAATCACAGGAACTGAAAGAAGGCACACAGCGGCAGAGGTGGAAGAGGTAATAGAGCTGTCCAAAGAGTAGGGTGGGCTTCTGATGGAAGTGTTGGCTGTGGGGAAGCTGGCACTGGGGGGTGGGTAGAATTTGTGGAAAGGGGCATTGGAGGGCCTAGCCTGGCACTGATCCTGGTAGCAAGTGCCTTTCCTGGGTCAATGGAATGGGTCTTGGAGAATCCTCCCTCCTCTGTCGCTCTGCATTAGGTCCTTTAAGACAAATATGATTTAGTTCTCTCTCTGTCCAGCCCTTGACTCCTCTGGACAGAAATAACCTGAAAGAAATTGCTCCATTGCCAGAGCAGAATATGGGTTTGGTGTTTCTCCAGAAAGCACTTGTCTCAGCTTGGTTTGTCTACTGCTGACCTGTCTAGTCTGATTTTCCATCAGCACAGAGACTGCTCAGTTCTTGCACACGGGTCTTCAGGGCCGGAGCCTTGCAGGTCATCCCATAGAAACTGCAGAACAAATATCTTAGCCCAGTCACAGATACAAAGGCTATGGTGGTGTCATAGTGAGATGGAGCTGTACTGGGAGCTAGAGGCCTGGGTTTCACCTGTCCCAACCACTGCACACTTTGGGTTGGGATGGCTTCTCTTCTGAGCCTTTAGTTACCTTGTTTCTAAATGAAGGGTTTAGCTGGGTGGCGGTGTCTCGCGCCTTTAATCCCAGCACTCTGAGGCAGAGGCAGGTAGATCTCTGAGTTCCAGGCTAGCCTAGTCTACAGAGTGAGTTCCAAGATAGCCAGAGCTGCACAGGGAAGCCCCGTCTCAAACAAAACAAAACAACAAAAAAGAAGGGTTTAGAGTATGTGGTGTCCAGGGTCTGTTTAGTTCTGGAGTTCCTCTACTCATCTGGAAATAGTATAATGTGTAGAACTTGTGTATAGACTCTGAACTAGAGAACACAGCATGGGCTTAAATTCTGATTTCATCTCTAGACAGCTGGGTGAGCAAGCCACTCAACCTCTGCAACCTCTATATCCTTATCTCTGTTATAGGGACCTTTATTATTCCTTACCACATGACTGTGTGATTGAATGGTTAATTCCCCCCACACATGGAAGAGCGCGCAACATATTGTGCTTTATCAACTTTTTGCTGAATAGGTACACATCACTATTATGTTCATGGGAGGTGAGTGTGGGCACCTCTTCTCTCCTGGCGGCTCACAGATTGGGGTCACAGCTGTTTCCTCCTCTCTGAGAAAGGCTGAGATTGTACTAGACAAGCCAATGTTGAACAGTGATTGTACAGCCAACCACTCAACTAACCTGGTGGCTTTCACAGAGCCTGCTTGCTATACAATGTTGTTGAGCTGATAAGTTTTGTCAATTTGACATAAATTCGAATCACCTGTGGAGAAGGAGCGTCAACTGAGGAATTGCCTCTATCAGATTGGCCTATGAGCATAACTGTGGGAACATTTTCTTTATTTATGGTAGATATGGGAAGGCCCAGTCCACTGTGTGTGATACTACCCCTGGGCAGGTGTGTAAGAATTCAGGCTAAGCAAGCTATGGAGAGCAAGCCAGTAAGCAGCATTCCTCATGGTCTCTGCTTCAGTTTCTATCTCCAGGTTCCAGCCTTGAGTTCTTACCTTGGGTTCCCTCAACTATGGACTGTGATTGAGAAGTGTAACAATTAAATGCTTTCCTTCCCAAGTTACTTTTGGTCAGTGTTTCAGTACAACAACAGACAGCAGCTAAAAGCATATATACTCTGCTCTCAACACTTTGAGGCTGGCTGATATTTTCTCTCACTCACAGGTAGAGGCTGGGGTCACACAGAGGAATGGATGTGGTGCCAGGATTTACATTGTCCTGTCTGCCTCTGTAGTGCAAAAATTGGGTGCAGACTTTCCACTCATTGGGAGTTGTGTGCTTAAGGTCACCAAAGAGAGCAAATTAGCTGAAGTCAGAAAGGAGAGCTAACTGTGAGCCAGGTCAGGGGATGTGTGTGCTTTTAAGAACTGATTTTACTGACCATATTTAAAATAAGTCTAAAGATTTATCATGCTTTGAAAACCTTGTTTGCTTACTGCTGAACATTTAAGCTATTTTCAATTTTAGGAATCATTACGCACCTATTAAACTAGTAAAATGATTATTTCATTACTTTAGAAGCAGTCACATGCACATATTATTGAGTACTCCATAAATTGATCCAGTTTTTCAAGAGAACAATCTAGTAATATTTAAGCACTATAAAATTATTTCTAACCCTTGACCTGATAATTTCACTTCTGAGAATAAACTCAAAAGGAAAACAAAAAGCTCAAAAGAAAAGAATTTGTACTTAGTTGCTCTTACGAATGCTATTTATAAAAACTGGAAGCCACCCAAATGCCCAGACATTGGAGCTTGGCTTAAAGCTCATAGCGTATTTACGTTTTAGAATATGATGTCAATATTAAAAATGAAGGACATACAAACCATGTGAAGGCATAGACAAATGTGTATGTACAAAGTAACAAATGCAAAGGGGCTAGGTCTTACACATTTCTGACCACAACTACATAAAACGTAGGCCTGTATTTGTTCAATGAATTGGTAAAGCTGAGATACAAATAGGTGATTTCAATATTCATCAAAGGGTCAGAGTCATTCAACGATTGTGGGAAATGAACAGGATCTGCTACATCTTTGCAGGGCCCAGTGCAAAACAAAAATTCCAAGAAACTTGCTTTAAATTTGACAATTTCAAGATGCCAATGGCAGACCTTGAAGCCATGTGGGGACCTATGTGACGTGATTTTTCTGGAAGCCCATGAGTGAAGCCTTGATTGAAGCAGCCAACCCCATTTGCTCATCATCTGTGAGAACACTAAGCTTGTAACTTTTGGCTCTGCTTAGAAACCTCAGAAGGACCATCATTCTGAGGTTGTATATCTGAGCTGAGAGTTAGTGATGAGGCCACTGACATGGGAAGATTGAGATGTTGGGAGGATGTGGTCACAAAATGTGGGCCATTTGTCTCTCGGCCCTGCTCGCCTCTCCCCTTGCACTTCCCCCGTTCTTCTCTACATTTGTTTATCTAGTATTTACTCATTAGTTATTGTGTCCTAGGTGTTGTATTCAGTGACAGGGACAAAAGAGCTTACAGCAAACAGACAAAGGGCTGTGACAGCTTTGGGGTAATAACTATAGACAGCATAGAGAGTAGTAGTGGTGGGTAGAGGGTTTGTCTGGAGTTGCTGACTGGCCCTTGTCTATAGAAAACTGTTTTTACTTGGATGAAGATAGAGGGTGTCTAGGTCAAAGAGACAGCATGTTTCAGAAAGCTCAAGTGAGGACAGTGTGTGTGGGGATCTGCAAGTCATGGCTTTTTGGATCTGATTAGTTTACAAAGGGATGAGTCAACTAAAGGTCCAGAGTCTTTGCTTGGAGAAATGTTCCCAAGCTAGGCATTTCCCATCTTACATTTTATTTAGCTGATCTTGTTACTCTTCAGCATACTGTTTAAGCCTAAGGAGTTTTAGAAGATGGACACTGACATCTCTTGTGGCTTTATGCCAACGCAGGTTTGATCAGCATGCCAACCATTTCCTCATCCAAATGGCCACCGAGAATGCTGATCGGGACAGGATCAACATCGGCACCATGCAGCCTCCATGACCCCGCTGCCTGGAGACTTCTTGAAGTTGTTCACAGGACTTTGTGAGAGGTTCTGATGAGTATCTTCCTGACAGCAGATGTACCGGTTGATCACACAAGAATCTTGCTGGCCGTGTGGTAGAGTTTTCAGTGCTTTTGCTTTGTTTCTAGCTTCATAATACATAATATATAATATGTAATATACAATATGTAATAATATCACAGCTGATGAGAGGAAGTGGGGATTGTCCATAGTAAGATTAGAACAGCCAATACCCTTTCCCCTACCATCCACAATACATACTCTGTTCTGCCCCATGGCAGACCCAACTCTGAACCTCAGTGGTACAAAATTTCCTCAGCATGGGAGGCCCTGGGTTCCCTAGGACTCCCTCATGACCTTGGCCAATGATTTCTTCCTCCGGAGCTCAGGTAAATGTTTAGGAAAGCTGGTACCAGATGATGGCCATGGGATCATTCCATTCTCTTGGGGTCTCTGCATATTGCTCTTTACTCACCTTCTGAGACTGTGTTTGCTACTCAGTTTTAGATCTTTAACTGTCTTTTCTCCCTTGTTTATAAAAAAAACAGTTGATTATAAAAGAAAATATTTGACTGAAAAAATTTACCCAAGTCATAATAATTCCTAAAGGATCATTATTAAAAGTCTGAGGTAACCATCTGAGGGAAGTTTCTATCTGTGCAAATATTCATAAAGAGGAGGTACATGGATGGGCACATTGAGACACAGGGAAATGACTTATCAAAGTGAAACCCATCCTGCCGTATTTAGCATTTTCACTAAAATATATTAAATTTGATTAACTAGAATTTTAAATAATACAGTAAGAAACTCAAGGAATGACAGAACCTCTGAACATCAGATAGGTGGTTTTTTTTTTTTTTGGTTTTTTGAGACAGGGTTTCTCTGTGTAGCTTTGCGCCTTTCCTGGGACTCACTTGGTAGCCCAGGCTGGCCTCGAACTCACAGAGATCCGCCTGGCTCTGCCTCCCGAGTGCTGGGATTAAAGGCGTGCGCCACCACCGCCCGGCCAGATAGGTGTTTTTTAAAACAAGAAATATTGTTTCCTAAATTAACCTGCAAAATTAAGAAAAAATAAAAATATTAAGAAGATAAAATTTCAAGCAAGATTTTAATTTTAGACACTTGTTATGAAGGATGAAGAAATTAGCATGTTGTTCTTTCCCCTTCTACATCACAAGCATTTATTTAATGCATAACTTTGATGTTGCCCAACTTAATAACAAGCTTCTTCTGTTCTCTGGTTTTAATTTCGAATTGTTTAATCTGTGGGCTGTGGACGACTGTGAAATGCTCACTGGCAGGGCTTGTTAGATTTTAACCACAAATCTGCTCTTTGAATTATTTTGATTTACTATTTGGTTGGTAAGAATTGCTGTCACACGTTGCTTGTTCTCTCTCTCTCTCTCTCTCTCTCTTTTTTTTTTTTTTTGAAGAAGGCCCCTCATTTTGTATGCATGACGATATCCCTTGGAGGAGAGGGGGCATGTCTGGGTATCTTTTTGTTGGTCTGTCTGTTTTCTACACAGGGTTTCTCTGTGTAGCCTGTCCTAGTCATTCTGAAACTCATTCTGCATACCAAGCTGTCTTTGAACTCAAAGATCTGCCTGCCTCTGCCTCCTGAGTGCTGGGATGTCTGGTTATCTTAAATGATACTTTTCATCTCTTTAGAAACTTATGGCCAGCCATTACTGCCCTGTCTGTGAGATCGAGTGGATGTAAGGAGAAGCCTGTGGTATTTTCTTTCTGATAGTCTGAATGTGCAGAGTTATCCTGACCCAAACTGACCTCCCTAGCTATTCCAGTGCCCCACTCCGTCTTTTCACACCTTATTTTTAGTCCTTAAGCAAAGACAATTACCCTATCTTCAAAATATAGCAAGTCCATTTCTTCCACTGGTTCTGTCTCAGCCCAAGTCATCACATTTGTCTTTCACACTATTTTTCCTGTATCTATTTTTTTTTACTGAATATTGTTATTTTAATAGTACATATTTTGGGGGTGCTGTGTGATAGTTTCATGTGTGCATACAGTATGAAAATACTACATCAGGGTAGCTAACATTTTCATCTCCATGAACATTTAGGGAGTGATAGAGAACTAAGAGGGAAGCAATTACATGAAGAAACAACTTACAGAATGGGAGGAAAATTTTAGCAACCATTAATTTGATAGAGATTTAATGTTTAGAATATATAAAGGACTGAAAAATAATCAATAACAAGGATATCCTATAATAATAACTTATACTGTTGTAATTGTCTCCTAGATAACGTCTTGCTTCTGTTCTGCCCTGTTTTACCCCATCCTCCAAACAATATCCAGTTTTTTTTTTTTAAATCAAATTGTGCCATTACCCCACCAGAAACCTCTCATGGTTTCCATCACATTTAGAATACATATATTTTATAAGACCTTATGTTATCCCACCCAGGTGACCTCTCTGATATCATTTCTGCCAGCCACTCATTACTTGCTCACTGTGTCTTAACTACATCTTGTTGGTCCTTGAAACAATATGCATCATCCCAACTTAGCATTTTTTTTCTTATTCATTTAATTCTCAGAATGCTCTGTCCTCCAGATATCTTTATTACTTCCTCTTCATTTCTTTTAGGCCTGGATTGAAAAGTATCCTCATCTAGGAGGCATTTTCTAACCACCTCTATAGTACGAAATAAAACTCCTGTTAGCACACTTTCTCTGAACATGTCGATTAGTACTCTTCATCACTTAGATTGTGGAAACTGGGTGCTTCCTGTTGCCCATTTACCCCATTCTTCTTACTGTAAAGATCTGGATCAAGAACTTTGCTCTGTCCATTACTTCAGCCTCAGGCAACTCACACCCAACATGGGCAAGCAGCTAACAAAGCTGTTGTGAGATATTTGTGTAAAGATATGTCACCATGACTGGTCTAATAAACAGCTAAATGGCCAATACCTAGGCAGGAGGTATAGGCAGGGCTTCTGGACAGAAAGAGCTCTGGGAAGAAGCAAGGGGGAGTTGCCAGCCAGATGCAAAGGAAGCATGACATGTAGGAGGAGAGGTAAAAGCCATGAGCCACGTGGCAGCATGTAGATTAATAGAAACGAGTTAATTAAAGTTATAAGAGCTAGTTAGAAACAAGCCTAAGCTAAGACTGAGCTTTCACAATTAATAATAAGTCTCTGTGTCATGTTTGGGAGATGGTGGCCCAAAGAAAAAATCTGTCTACAAGCAATTTAACCAAGAAATTAACATTTTGCACATTATGTGTAACTTCTTTTTTAAAAAAATATTCTATGATTCTTTATCTTTGAAGTTCAATACATTCAGTAGGATGTTTAACTATAGATTGCTCTTCATATATTGCTGTGGGATGTCTTTCTGTATGCTGTGAATATGTGTTGCTCCCATTGGCTAATAAATAAAGTTGTATTGACCTAGGACATGGCAGAATGGAGCCAGGTGGGAAAATCTAAGAGAGATAGTGAGAGGAGGAAGGAGAGTGGGGGAGACACCAGCCACCACCCCAGGAGCAACAAGATGCCAGCAGACTGGTAACATCTCGGCTACGTGGCAACATATAGATTAATAGAAATGGGTTGAGTTAAATTATAAGAGCCAGGGCTGGAGAGATGGCTCAGAGGTTAAGAGCACCGACTGCTCTTCCAGAGGTCCTGAGTTCAATTCCCAGCACCCACATGGTGGTTCACAACCATCTGTAATGAGGTCTGGCACCCTCTTCTGTGTTCATAATAAATAAATAAATAAAATTAAAAAAAAAATTATAAGAGCCAGCTAGCAAGAAGCCTGAGCCATAGGTCATACAGTTTGTAAATAATATAAGCCTCTGTGTGTTTACTTGGGACCAAGCAGCTGCAGGATGTGGGTGGGAGAATTTGTCCTGACCGTGGGACCGGTCAGGACCAGAGAAACTTCTATTTTTTAGAAACAATTTATTTTTTCTTTCTGGAATGCTCTGTACCTTTGCTGTTGTTGTATTTTGATATGCAGGCTCTTCAGGAAAGTTTTATTTTGCTGTCTTTTAAATTTATCGGCTTTACTATCTATCCTCCTGCAAATGGCAATGATATTTATTTTGTCTTTGACTATTTGTGTTATGCAATTATTATTATTATTATTATTATTTTTAATCTTTATTTTCCTCTCATATTTTATAGTTTCCTTTGTCCTGTCTGCCATATGTTGAGAGAATTTAAATAGCTTATTTGGTATTTCATTATTATTTTTTAGTTAATTTATATTTTCAATATTTTAAAATTAAAATAGTTTGTAGTATATATTACTTTTATAAAACAAAACATTGCCACATGTATATCCAACATATTTTGATCCTATTTACTCTCTTTCCTCCCTCCAAATAAGTCCCCTTTGCTTTCATGCCGCCTCCCCCAATCTAGTTTTGGAGGTAAGGAAATATGTAGCATTTGTCCTTTGGAGCCTGGTTCATTTCACTAGGCAGACCATCTCCACTTCTATCCATCTTAGTTCTCCTACCTTTTTACTTTTGGCGAATTCTGACAAATGCAAAGTGGGTCTATTTTACCCTGAATCACTCTCTGGGGTCTCCCTTTCTTGCCAATTCCTCCCAGGGCTCCCAACTCTACCCTCTAGAAAAGACTATCCCCATAGTTTGCTCTTTTCCAGAAAAACCAGTGAAGAGATCTGTTACACAGGCTTTGGGGCCTGACTTCTTTTGCTTAGCAAAATGCACTGGAGATTCATTGACGTCACTGTGTGTGTAGAGTTCATTTCATTTTATTGCTGAACACACCGACTTGCTTATTCAGTGATGTTAGTTGTTCCTAGCTCCCAGAGATTGCAAACCAAGCACCTATAGTTACTCACACAGTGGTGTGTGTGAGCATTTACATTTTCATTTCTCTTGGGGAAACATCTAAGAGTGGGATTACTGGGTTATCTGTATGCCTGGCTTTGTAGGAAGCGATTATTTCCCAAGTGGCTGCACGGTCTGCAGCTAACAGCATATGAGAGGCCAGTGGTTCCACAGCTGCAGCAGCGCTTGCGATTGTCAGGGCATTTTTCACTATTCTGATAGGTGTGTGGTGGAATTTCATACATAGTTTTA